ATCATGCTATTTACTGTATAATGCAACTATAAATAGAAGAAACTCTCTTTCTCTTCTCACCTTGAGAGAGAAACTTTGATTTCAAATCTGTTTTATGGTATCAGAGCCTTGTTGGTAAGGAATTAGAGAGTTTCTTTCAATTTTATTCCTATTCTCTTGTTCCCATTCTGTAATGGCCCCATCTTAAAACAGTAGCTACCCATATCCTTCTACCCTCAATGTGTCAAACTTTGTTTTCCTAAGACTTACTCCCACCAACTATCTATTATGGAGGACTCAAATGGCCGCCTTAATTGAAAGTCAAGACATGCAGGGATTCCTAGATGGAGAGTATGTCATGCCGGTAGCCAAAATCACCCCAACTGGTAGCATTAATGCTGAGGGACCTAAGAGGTACCAAACCCGGCTTATATCTCATGGAGGCGGTCTGATCGCCTTCTACGTGGATGGATCACTGACACTTTTTCTGAAGAAGTGCTTGGAATCGTTGTGGGACTCATAACATCTTGTGAGGTTTGGGATGCTTTAGAAGAAGCTTATGCCCAAGACTCTCAAGAGAGAGAGTTCAATTTGACACAAGCAATGACCACATTACGGAAAGGTAACGATTCATTGACTGAATATTTAAGAAAATTCAAGGCTATTTGTGATGAACTTGCTGCTATGGGGAAACTAGTACCAGACAAAACCAAAGCCTTTTGGGTGTTATAAGGACTTGGCCAAGGCTATGCGAACTTTGTGACAACCATGTTGAAACCTCCGGTTCCACCATATTGAGAAGTTGTATCTCTTCTCAAAAGTCATGAGACTCGAAACCAAATCCATGGGTTTGACAGTTATAATCATCCTTAAGTGGCCTTTTATGGACAAAGGACCAATGGAAACCAAAACAAGAGGAAAGGAAATGGCTTCAACAAATTCAACTCAAAAGGAAAAGGTTTCTTTCAAGGCAATGGAACTAACAGCACTTATAATAGTGCTAGTGCAAACTACTTTTCTCATGCAGGTAATAGGAATGTCAGATCTAACTTTACGAGGAATCGGCCTAACAATTTCAACAAACAGAAGGCTGAAGCTCAAAATCCCATCATGGAAAGTGCAGTCAAATGCCAAATTTGTGGAAAGCTCAATCATACTGCTAAGTGTAATATCCCAAATTTTCGGGAATATTTAAGTGTAAGTTAAGGACTTGATTGTGAGAAAAGATTGTTTTGAGGCCTAATGTGAATATTTCAAAAGTTGAGGGACTTAAAGAGGGAAAGATTTTGGATAAGGATGACTTCTTTTCTTTTTCTTTTTCTTTCTTTCTTTTCTCCCTAGCCATTCCCGATTCTGCTGTTCTCTTCCCGCTGCAGCCACCCGAAGAAAAAAAAAGGGGAACCAGCCATGCTTTGAGAAACCGGTAAAGCTTGATGATTTTTCCCTTCTTTTCTTGTTCTAGAACCTGATTTGGAACCCATAAATCTCCCCCCTGCAGGAAGCTTCCGGATCTGCTTTGTCCTTCCTCCCCTGTCCGCCGGCTGCTCTTGCTTGTGGGGTGTGATTTGCTCCGGTTTTGGGTAAGAAACAGCTACCAATCCCTCTGTTCTTGCTTGAATGAACTTGGGTTTACCTTAATTGCTCTTGGGTTCCTTTAATTTTGGGTAGATCCGTGAGTTTCTCCCCTGCACTTGCCGCCGGCTTCTCCCCCAGCCAAGCTCGGTTTTGCTTGCTAATTTCTGGTATGGACAGCCCTTTTAAGGCTTAAATTATTCGTTTAGATTGCTGGCTGTGTTGTCCGAATTTGATAGAAAATTGGGGATAATTCCAGTAGCTTTAGGGTGAGATTTAAGCATTGATTCAAGTGGAATTTATGTGATTGAGTGTTAATTGTCTGCTATGTGATTTTTGGAGAAAATCCCGTGAGATTAGCTAGTGTTTTGGCCAATTTGTGGAAGTAGAGTTACTGTTCACGGTGGGGTCACTGTTCACCGGCACTGGTCACCGTTACTGTTCACACCCCAAGGGCTAATATTTAACGGGAATTTAAATGATTAGTTTGTGATATGAGAACGAATTTGGAAATATTTGATCGTGTGGAGATTTATGGAAATAACATTGTGATTAGGAATGATCCTAATGAAGTGTTCAGTGTGAATTTGTGATAGTCCGATATTAATTCTGAGGTATTTTGATTAGGTTCCCGATTGTTCTGTCAGTTAGTACGTAAATTGAGTGCTCGATTTTGCGGAGTGAGGTAAGTAAATTTATGGTAATGCCCATACTGTTTTAAAAGCATGTTTTGATTTGTTTTTGAAGTGGTGGCAGGACTAAACCCGTTTTACACAAGTATGACTGATTTGAAGTTCTGAATTTTTATGCTTTTCATGAAATTGAGCATGCCTACTTGGAATCTAATTGATTGTCCCAATGATTTGAAAGTGATTAGTGAATTATGAATTTTCTGTTAACTTCTGCCTGTTTGTCTCCGATACGGTCATGTTATCCTGTTGCCCACTAGTGGGAGGTCAAACGCTAGCACATGTCGACATGTTCCTGATAGAACCGGTTCATTCTTGTAATCCTGCTAGTGGGAGTTAAACACTAGCAATTCCTGTTGCCTGCCAGTGGGAGGTTTAAACACTGGCCATGACCTATAGAGGAGACGTCTATTTCGTTCCCGTACCGTATCTGTTTTCGTGATTGTACTTGTTGGCATGCTATAAGTTTAATAAGGGCACTCCATATTTACTTACTGAGTTTATCTCATAGTTTTTCCTTATCCACCATTTCAGGAAGTGAAATCGAGGACGGGAAAACCACGGGAAGTGACGAGTTAGAAGGCTAGCCATATCGTAATTGGATATAAATTTTAGATATGAATCATGATCTTGTATTTGGAGATTTTATTGGAGATTTATGATATCAAAGAGATTTTATAATTCGATCTTCAGATTTTGGTGGTATCAGAGTACAGTATGATAAGTTCCGAGCCTTGTGCATTTGTGGGACCCGTCTCACAAGTGCACGGCGTCTGTCGCGTCTCGAAATTGGGTTTTGGGGCGTGACAGCTACAAAGTGCTTCAACAGATTTAATCACTCATATCAAGAAGATGACATTCCAAAGGCATTGGCAGCCATCACCATTGATGACAATCAGGAGCTTGAATGGCATCCAAACACAGGTGCATCTGTCTATATGATAGGAAATTCTAGTAAGCTAAATAACTTAAAACCTTATCATGGCCAAGACGCTGTTATGATTGGTAATGGTGAAGTACTAAATATTACTCATATTGGTGATTCTAACATTGCCTTTGGTGACAACTCAATTCCATTGAAAAATGTCTTACTTGTTCCTGATATAAAAAAAAATTTAATTTCAGTTAGTCAACTTACTACTGATATGCCATATATATTCATATTTGACTCAAATGGCTTTTCTATTAGGGACAAGCGAACCAACAAGGTAATTGCTTTTGGAAAAAAGGCTGGTGGTCTATATGCTTTAGAGGATGCTTTGGAGGAAGGACATAGGGCACTTTTCTCCACTCGGTTTAGAAGTACAAATAAAGAAGGGTGGCATCAAAGGCTTGGCCATCCAAACTATCGTGTTATAAATTTTATTTTTAAGCAAAAGTTTATTGATTTCACTTTAGATTCAAACTTTAACTCTATTTGTGATAGTTCCCAAATGGGTAAATCTTGTAAACTTCCTTTTCTTCAAGCTGATGATGAATGTGATGAGCCCTTTATAAAAATTCATTGTGGTCTTTGGGGTCCTGCTCTAACAAAGTCCCCTGAAAATCATCGATATTACGTAATTTTTCTAGATGGTTTTTCTAGATTTACATGGTTTTATCCTATTAAAAGAAAGTCAGATTTCTTTGCTTGCTTTGTGCACTTTCAAAAATTTATTGAGTGCCAATTTAATAAACGAATTAAAATTCTTCAAACTGACGAAGGGGGTGAATTTGCAGATAAAAGATTATTGCAACTTTTGGATGATTAAGGGATTCGACATCAATCAGCATGTCCAAAAACTCCACAACAAAATGGAGTTGCTGAGAGAAAGCATCGTAGTATCACGGAGTTGGGACTAACAATGATGTTCCATGCAAAACTCCCTACTCGACTTTGGGTCCATTATTTTTCTACAACTGTATTTCTTATAAATCGTTTACCTTCACAACAATTAAATATGGATTCTCCTTTTTTCAGGCTCTATGGCAAACATCCTAACTATAACTCCTTGCGAGTTTTAGGTTGCAAATGTTTTCCTTACTCAGGTGATTACAAGAAGAATAAATTGGAGCCAAAGTCATTGCCTTGCATTTTTATTGGATACAGTACCAAGCACAAAGGGTATAAGTGCTTATATCCTCCAACAAACCGAATATACATATCTCGACATGTGGTCTTTGATGAATCGTGCCTGCCATTCACAAATTCGACCTTGCTTTATGCAACGCCGGATGTTGAAACTGAGGTAACAACATTCCATCCTTGGATAACTGCTGATGAAAATTCTTTAAGTACTGCAGGTGATGGTGAAAAGCAGAGTTGCTCTATTCCATGTGCTGCACCGACCATAGAACAAGGGAAATTAGCTTCCAGTGAAGAATCTAGTCTTAATGACTCAAGAGAAATTCTTGACTCGAGGGCACAAACTGTCGAAATTAATGATCATCAACCAAATGAAGAACTTGAATCACATCTAGTTGATTCCATCCGATCCATTGATAATCATCATCAAAATGATGATTTGGTGCAAATTAATGATGGCCATGAAAATGGAAATTTGATGCAAAATCTGCCAACGGACAGTGGAGTGAATGCAAACACTACAAATGAAGAAAATCACTCTCCTACATCAATTGAGATAGTTAACACATTATCAGTTCAGGCAGCAAACACACGGCAACACCAAATGGTCACCCAATCACAAAAAGGTATCCTTAAACCAAATCCTCGTTATGCAAATTTACATATATTGCATAAAATTTCAGGCATTCCAATAGAGCCCAAGTCAGTTTGGTCAGCACTAAAACATCAAGGATGGACCATTGCAATGCATGAAGAATTAGAAGCACTTGCAAAAAATGATACTTGGGACCTCGTGCCTCGTACGAAAGATATGAATGTGGTTGGATCTAAATGGGTGTTCAAAACAAAATTACATGCTGATGGGAGTCTAAAGCGCCTCAAGGCGCGTCTTGTTGCCAAAGGCTTTCATCAAATAGTTAGTGTTGATTGCTCTAAAACATTTTCCCCTGTGGTGAAAGCTGGGACCATTTGTCCTATATTAGCAATTGCAACAACCAAACAATGGCAAATCCGATAACTGGACGTGAAGAACGCTTTTCTACATGGATATCTCAATGAGCCGGTATATATGGAGCAACCACCTGGGTTCTTGGATCCCAAATTCCTAACTCATGTTTGTCGATTAAAACGTGCTTTATATGGGTTGAAACAAGCACCACGTGCTTGGTTTGATAGACTTAGCAAATTCCTTTTTAACATTGGTTTTTTTTGCAGCACAACAGACCCCTCTCTCTTCATTTGTCATTCAAATAAGGGGATTTTACTTCTTCTTATTTATGTGGATAATATGATTTTAACAGGAGATAACTCTAAATTTCTTGAGCTATTTATCTCTCAGCTTGGTCAAGAATTTGCTATTAAAGATCTTGGTTGTCTCAATTTCTTTCTTGGCATAGAAGTTCATTACACAAGCCTTGGTTTGATTCTATCTCAATCCAAATATGCACTAGACATTCTATCCAAAGCTCAAATGGAGGGTTGCAACTCGATCTCCACTCCTATGGCACTTAAAGCACGTTCCTCACATTCTAGCAATGATGCATTTCATGATCCAACTCATTATAGGAGTATTGTTGGGGCACTTCAATACCTCACATTTACTCGACCAAATCTCTCATTTGCAATCAATTATGTTTGCCAGTTCATGAACTCTCCTACAATTGGAAATTACCAAACCGTCAAGCGGATATTAAGGTATGTACATGGGACTCTCAATTATGGCTTACAAATTCTTAACCAAAGTTCCTTGGACTTGTATGCCTTTTAAGATGCTGATTGGGCTGGGTGTTCTTTGACCCGCCGTTCCACCTCTAGTTATTGTACCTTCTTAGGAAGCAACTGCATTTCATGGTGTGCAAAGAAACAACCTACAGTGGCTCGTTCGAGTGCCGAAGCAGAGTATCGATCTATGGCTTCAACAACTGCTGAAATCACTTGGCTTGCACACCTTCTTCATGACATTGGAATGGCTCTTAACAATGCCCCTATTCTTCATTGTGACAACTTGAGTGCAATATATATGACAATCAATCCAGTCTTTCATAGCCACACCAAACACGTTGAAATTGATTATCATTTTGTTAGAGAGAAAGTTGCTCTTGGTCACCTTATTACTCAGTTTGTAAGTTCTACCTCACAGTTAGCTGACATCTTTACAAAGCCATTGACTCGAGACAGCTTTCATCGACTACGCAGCAAATTGGGTCTTGTGTCTCTACCACTGCCCAATTTGAGGGGGAGTAATAAAGTCTCAACTTGTGAGGATCATTTTGTAGAACCTGCAGAAGGAAACAAATCAAATGGCATTGTAGAACCTACAGAAGGAAACAAATCAAATGGCAATAATGCTTTGGAGGAAAATCAGCAATTAAAGAAATTGTAAAATGCAATCGTTGGAGATATAGTCATTGCAAATTTATATTGTAATCATACCTTAAATCATGCTATTTACTGTATAATGCAACTATAAATAGAAGAAACTCTCTTTCTCTTCTCACCTTGAGAGAGAAACTTTGATTTCAAATCTGTTTTAACTTCCAATGTAGGATTAAAACCAATGTAGAAATTAAAATGAAGAAAAAATTAAAGGCTCGAAGAGGGTGATTTTTGGGTTTTGGCAATAAACTAACCTCCTTGCTTGAAAATCACGGTAGATGGAGCATAACAATTATAGCTGATCGAACGACATCAACAACGGCATCTTCAGCTGCAATGGTGATTCTGAAACATTGGAAACGTGACGTGTAGCCATCGGCAAGAGGAATTATCGGTCTTGGGTCATCCTTATTTACATTGTCCAGTAGCATGTTCTCATAACTTCCCGGATGGTAAGGCCTTCTGGCTCGTCCATTCCCTCCTTCCTTGGAAAACCCCATTTCTTGGACCCATTTCCATTCTCCATTGTTTTCCAGCTTTGAAATTAAAATTATGCATGTGGGCTGGTGGGCTAAGAGCGGACTTTCTAGAACGGAACTTAGGTTCTGAAATCATGTAAAAAATTATGCATATGAACTTAAAACAAGATTTGTATTTAACTTAAAACTAATTAGCAATAGGTGGCACAGGCCTAGTAACCCTCTTTCTATTTAACTCATAGGCTTCCTTATTATATCATCAATATGAGATTTTCCCATTTAATAGCCTATAACCCAAGGTGGGGCAATAAGGTGATGTGATGAAGCTGTGTGGTGGGCTCTCGGACTCCACTCCTGAACACGAGTGGAGCTTGAGCTTCCAGTTTCAAAGTCCAGTCCCGGATGGTGGGTATAAACTATAAATGCTGAGATTCCTGTAACGTAGGAACAAGGATGAAGAAACAAAGCCCATGATTCAGCTGCTGCGTCGTGACTCGAGTTGTCATGTGATGGTGTAACGATGGTACATGAATTTTTAATCCTTTATAAAACGGAAAACAGAGGCATTCAAAAGATTTCTAGAATTATAAATGCAAGCAGAAATCAAATTGTCATTTGCATTTAACAAAGTTGACTGTATGAATGATTCATGGATAAATTCCACGAATAATCACTCATTTGATCATAATTCTCAACTTAATCAATATCCTTTTAAGTTTGAAAATTTAGTCATCTAACTACATTTAAATTACTACCGTTGGTCACTCATTGTTAACTCCCCGTTACTTAGCCATTTTCGTTAAGTTTAACTAATGACCTTAGCGTGGGCCAAGAAAATTGTGATTACATGGTGCCTAAATGGATTATAATTTTACAAATTCATGTTTGCCCAAAAAACACAAACGAGTGGCCAAAATAAATTTATAGAGAAACAAATATGATATCTGGGGCTATTTATAACCAGGTTTTTTTTTGGCCAGCTATTTATAACCAATTAGTTCTCATAATCTCTCTCTCTCTCTTTTTAGTAACTGGATTCGAGTATTTTTGTGTACTTAATAAAATTATATTTCCAATAAAAAAATAAATCTCTTTTTTTGTGAAAATTCATCATCTATGTTATACCATTCCTGTAAAGCTTCCTGCCTCCCCAAAAAATTCCTATTATAATGATCCGTTATGAAACTAAATAGAGAAATGATATAATATAGGAGGTTTTAATAAAGTATCACAAAAAAAAAA